CGTTCCGCGGGTCCTCCAGATCTGCCCCCTCTCTTCTGTGGGCTTCCTTGGCACCTTCCAACCAGGACCTGCTTGCCTCCCCTTTCCCTCCCGGCCTGTTCACACGCCGTGCGCAATTCAATCTTCACGCAGGGATCAAATCCCCTCCCAAGTATTCCTTTCCTGACATTCATGCTTTGGATGCAGTCCACATTCCTTGGGGGGGGGGCTTTCACCTCCCCTTCTCAAGGAGCCCTTTTGCAACTTGCTTTTCTGCTTCTCTTGACATTCTCAGGTTTAACGTAACATAATGAAGGTGGGAACCTTCCTTCCGCAGCACAATTTTTGCTTCTGTTCAGACACACACAACCCGACTCGTTCTCAACCACAGCATCGACATACAAAAGCAGACACAATCGCATCTTGAGACAAGACATCCAATATCAGCGACACACAGCAATCCCCCGTGAATTTACTTGACTGTAAAACAACTAAGAACAGCCCCACCGCAGCCCACCCCGGGTCAATTTCTCACTGGCAGTGACGGATTCGCCTCCTTTGGTTTCTTCCTGCCCATTTTCCACCTGGGGGCCACCCCAAAAACGCTCCCCTGGCACCCAGAGCGGCCTCTCGCTCTCATTCCCTTGTTGGTTCGTCATATGCAAATCATTCCCATTTGTATTTGTTCTTTTGCCGCATGCAAATTATGGGCTTAACCCACATATTCAAGCCAGCTGACGTTTTGCCTCTTAGGATTTGTAAGTCAGGGTTCACTTGTGGGGCCCTCTGGGCTCAGTGTTTTTCTTGCAGACGTTTCATTACCACACTAGAGAATATCATCAGCGCACCAATATGTTACCTGCTTTGGGTAAAGAAATGTTTGCAAGGGAACAACTGAGCTGGGGGAGCCCCAGAGAGCCCACCTTTAGCAGTTGGCTTTTGCGAGGATTTGCCACCAGCTTCCCCGAGTGGCACAGATGGGGGGGGGGGATTTCTTGCAATCCAGACCTGCCCCCTTTGCTTATACTGGGAGGGGTTCGTTTCGCTGAGGAGCCAGTGTCTTCCCCTCTCCCCCACAGCCCTGGAGTTGCTCAAGAGCGCCATCGAGAAAGCCGGCTACCCAGACAAGATCGTGATTGGCATGGACGTGGCCGCCTCTGAGTTCTTCCGCAAAGGCAAATACGACCTGGACTTCAAGTCCCCCGATGACCCCAACCGCTACATCTCTGGGGAGAAGCTGGGCGAGCTTTACCAGAGCTTCATCAAGAACTACCCAGGTGAGGAGGGGCCGGAGGGGGGGGGCACTCAGCCCATAAAGGTATCGGGGTGCGACTCCCGGTTGCTCCCTTGCAGTGGTCTCCATTGAGGACCCCTTCGACCAGGACGATTGGGAGACCTGGAAGAAATTCCTGACTCAGGTGCAGATCCAGATCGTGGGGGACGACCTGACGGTGACCAACCCCAAGCGGATCCAGCAGGCGGTGGAGCAGAAGGCTTGCAACTGCCTCTTGCTCAAGGTCAACCAGATCGGCTCCGTCACTGAGTCCATCCAGGCGTGAGTCCCGTGGTGGGAGTGGGGGTGGGGCGAGGGGATACGAGCTGGAGGCTTGGTCCCTCTGTAAGCGGGGTGGGGGTCTCTCGGGTGGAGGTGACCTCCGGCTGCTTGCTCAGGTCCTCCCTTCTCTTCCAGCTGCAAGCTGGCCCAGAGCAACGGCTGGGGGGTGATGGTGAGCCACCGCTCTGGGGAGACCGAGGACACCTTCATTGCCGACCTGGTAGTGGGGCTCTGCACTGGGCAGGTGAGACACTGGCCTCCCCTCCTCTCTGTCCTTTCGGGCCCCTGGGGGGCACCCGACCTCCTCCTAAAACAATCCCTCCGTTTGTAGATCAAAACCGGAGCCCCCTGCCGCTCAGAGCGCCTGGCCAAGTACAACCAGCTGATGAGGTGAGGAGAGCAATCCCCCCCCCCACAGACACACCCCTATCCTCTTTCTTGGGGGTGGGTGGTCTTTGCTGCTAACGGCCTCTCTGCCTTTCCACAGGATCGAGGAAGAGCTGGCTGATAAAGCGCAGTTTGCCGGCCGCAAATTCCGGCACCCTCTGGCCAAGTGAGAGCTCCAGACTGCGAGCCGGGTGGGGGGCTGAGTGGAACCGCCTCTCTGCCTGCCGAAACGGACCCCGCCCTTCAAGGCCTGGTTCTGTCTCTTACCACCTACAAAAGATCTGTGAAATCGCCCCAACTCCACCCTGGGGGGCTGAATAGAAAGGCTGCTGTGCCAACTACTTTGCACTGAGTGTGTCGTTCTTGAGTGAAGCTGCCTGGGCTCCCCCCACCTGTGCCCGCTTTCCTGCCATGCCTCTTAGACCTGCCTAAGGGTCCCACGTTCACCAGGCCAAGCTCAGAATCCCCACTGCGGGCAGTCAGGAGGGCAGCAAAGTGAGACTCAAAGCCCAGTTCCTGCCCTCCACCCTCCCAAGCCCCGAGGGCCCAGGCCCACCCCATGCTGCACAGCCTCCACAGCCTAATTTGAAGAGGCCTGGCTCACCACTCATCTCAAGCTACAATGTGGGACGCACCTCGACCGGTTTCTCTTGCCTGAGCAAATGAAATTCTTCCCAAAGGATTGGAGGCAAACCAAGGACAGCACTGACAGGAAGAGTTTAATGGGATGGGTACACAAGACCCCCTCCAGATGTTGCAACCAGGCTTCTGGGCTGCCCTCCGTCTGTGGGCTCCCAAAACAAAGGGACGGGGAGGAAGGAGGGAATAAAAACCTGGCATTATATACACATACACACACACACTTACTGAAGCCGGCCAAAGGGAGCAGACCAGGAGGTCTGCCCTGCCGCCCCAAAGGAAGCCAAGCGGCCACTCTCGGTGGCCATTCTTTCCTACCAACTGAGCTGTGCGAACACCAAACAACGGGGCACTTGGCCAACAGGGGTAGGGGGGGAGGTGTAGAGCTGATGGTAACTCTTTAAGCAATGAAAGGAGAAGGAAGCTCAGCTCCAGATATTCCAGGGACAGGAGGAGATTCTTCCTAGAGGGCAAAGGTCAGCCCCAAGACAAGTGGGATGGGAGTGGGGAGTTTGGGTGGCAGCGCTGGGGGGCTGCAGCCCCACAACTAAGCCAGATGGGGACTCCCCCCGTGGCTCAAAAGCGACCTGCCAAACTGGATAAAGGAGCTCAATCGGCAGAAAAAGGAGGCAACTGTGGGAGGGGGATGCCTATTCACACACAGACCCCCTCCCCACCGGTGGGCACACCCCTTGCCACCTTTCCTCGCTTGGCTAAGGCAGCCTTTAAAATGCTTTTTTACCACATTAAAAAGCAAATTCTAGCTAGAAGTTTGAGGGGGGAGGGAGAGGAAGGGAGGATGAGAGTCTCCATCGGATCCCCCCCCAACAGGAGCTGGGCTGGAGCAGGGCCACCGGGCGCCCCTAGGAGCTCTTGGCCTCCTCCTCGCTCTGGCGCAGCCGCTTCTTGGCCCGGATCTCGTTCATGGCCTCCTCGATGGAGCGCGTGTCCCTCTTGTTGGCCACCGGCACTGCAGTTGGGGGAGGAGGAGGAGGGAGAGTGAGGGGCTTCCAGAGGGGGCTCCCCTCCCCCCACCACCAGCGCCCCCTTCCCCTCCCCCGCTCACCGCAGCCGTAGGCCTTGTTGGCCTCCATGGCCTGCGCGGCGGCCTTGGCGGCCACCCTGCCGATCAGGTGGCTGTACTTGTCCTTGTAGTCGCTCGGGGGGGTCACCTCGGCCGGCCCGCGCAGCGCCTCCTCCGCCGCCTGACGCTGCGCCGCTTCCTGGGGAGCAACGGGGGACACCAGCCGCCCCCTCAGACGCCGGACGGAGCCCCCGGCGCCCCCCTCGAGCCCCCCCCGGCGCCCCCTCCCCCCGCGCACCTTCATTCGGCGGCGCTCCTCGGCCTGCCGGGGGTCCCACTCCTCCCCGCGCCGGTAGGCCTCCAGCTCCTCATCGCAGGGCGCGAACTCCTGGGGGGGGGCAAGGGGGGAGAGGGCGGTCACGGGGGGGTCGTGGACGCGGGGGGGAGGGGGGGCGTGGGGAGGGGGGGAGGGTCCCTTGCCTTCTTGAAGAGCATCACGTAGCGGGAGTCCTCGTCGTCGCCGAAGGAGAAGGACGCCAGCCCGGCCACCTCCGCCACGTCGTGCCTGCGGAGTCCCGGGGGGGTGGGGTGTGTGTGTCAGCCGGCGTTTTCCTGCCCCTCCCCCCCCGCGCCCCCCCCCCCCCCCCCCCCGCCCCACTCACAGGATGCTGCGCTCGATCTTGCTCATGGGGCGGAAGCGGCGCCGGGGCTCCGCGCTCTCCTGCAGGAAGGCCGAGACCTCCCGCTCCATCTGGGGGAGAAGCGCCGTCAGAGACCCCGCCGGAGCCCCCTGCCTCCCTCCCGCCCGCCGCCCAGGCCCACGAGGGAGAGGGAGAGGGGGGGGGAGACGGACCCTCTTGCGGAAGGCGGCCTTCTGGCGCTTCTCCTGCTCCTGCAGCGTCCGCAGCCGCGCGCTCTGCTCTGCGGGGAGAGAAGCCGCGGAGGGGCTCAGCGGGGGCGGGGGGGTCCCGGGCCCTCGCCCCCTCCCCTCCCGCCCCCTCCCCCACCCACCTCTGGCGCGCCGGGCCTCGCGGTCGTCCAGCCCGGGCGGCGGCTCCATGGAGCTCAGGATCGAGCCCAGCAGGTCCGCCATCTTCGCCGCCGCCGCCGCCGCCTTCGGCCCCGCCCACTCGCGCGGCGCCCCCGGTGACGTCACCGCGCCGGAAGGCCTCCAGCTCCTCTTCGTTCCTCGGCGGGGCGGACCACAGTTCCCGGCGGGCCCCGCGCCGCCCCTCCCGCCCCCTCCCCCTAGGCCGCCCCGCCCCTCCCGTCGGCGGCCAGCAGCGCCCGCACCGCGGCGGCCATTCGGGGCAGGTCCTGGTCGTCCATCCCGCGGGGGCAGCGGAGCTCGGCCTGGGGGGGCGAGGGGAGGCGCCGGTCAGCGGCGGGGGTCTCGCCCGGGGCCCCCCGCAGCCCCCAGCCCCTCCGCCCGGGGCAGCCCGGGAAGCGCGCGGGGGGGGGAGGGGGAGGGGGAGGAGGCGCCGGCGAGCAAGAAAGCGAGACGGAGGCCGAGATTCCGCTTGGGAAAATCCCTTTTTTTCCCTTTTCTTTTTTCGGGCAAATACAGGGGGGGGGGGGGGGGGGGGGGGGGGAGGAGCTGCAGCCCTTGGGGGCCTTTCCTTCCCGCGGGGAGGAAGACGATAAATAAGAGGCGATATTTACAATATGGTACAAGTGGTAGAAACACAAATCTTCACAACCTCCCATAGATCTTCAAATATACATATATATATACATATACATATATATATGTTCGTGTGTGTGTGTAAAAAATATATATATCATTTAACGCATTTAAGGCAGCAGATGGGGAGCGTTATTGAAGGGGGGGCCGGGCCAGAAAGGGCAACCATTAAGGCGTTTCCCCTGAACTGGAAGAGCAAAGGAGCTGCTGGGGCCAAGGCGGGCCAGGCCGAGAGGCTGGGGGCACACGGGGGCTCCTCCCTCCCACCTTCATCCAGAGGAGGTCCCACTCGGGGACCCTCCAGCACAGGCGGCCTGAGGTAGAGGAGGGGTCCTGCTGTGCCCCAGGGTCAGGCTGCTGTTGTGGCGAGCGAGTGCCCGGGTCTCCCAGGAGGTTGGGGCCATTTGCCCCGCAGCCCTTGAAAGGACGTGGCCCAACTGCCAAGCTCTGAGCGGGCAGGCCGGCTCTCGTTCCAGAGGGCAAAATAGCCCACCAGGCCTCCTTGCAAAAGCTACAAAAGGCTCCAACTCTCGGCCAGAAGACCAGAGCGCCCACACTGGGACTGGACAACCCAGAGGTGCTGTGCTCCAAGCAGCTCGATTCCTGCGGGCCAAAAGCAAGCGCAGGCCTCAGGGTTGCCAGGTGGGGCACACCAGGGCCATCCTGCCCCAGGAGGCACTTGGGAAGGGGAGCCAAAGGGGCACGGGGGAGAGAAGGCCATGGCGGCAGGTTCTGGGGAGAAGGCACAGGTGTGACCAAGAGGGCCCTGGTGGGTTTGAAATGGGAGGACCGGCAGCCTCGGGCGGGGCGGGGTCAGGAGACCCTGACTGGAGAAAGGGACATCATGGATTGCCGGGGGTCCTTCACTGCCCCCAACCCATTTGGCTGCCTGAAGAACGGAGGCCTGGGTGAGCGAAGCCAGGAGGGTTGCCGGTTAACGGTCTGAAACCAGAGGACAGATTTCCCTAGCAAGGGGCAGCCTGCCTGCGGCCGGAGTCTCTGACCGGGTAATGCAGGGTCCGGCTCCGCAGGGGCTGCTGGGAGCCGGGCGGTCCTGCTCAGTTTGGCGGCCGTCAGGACGAGCGTCCAAGCGCTCAGCAGCAGCAGCAGAAGCCACACAGTTGGCAATAGGCAAAGTACAACAGCAACATGACGCAGGCATAGAAGACACCAAAGCCGGCGAGGTGGCCATGGAGGGCAGCGGGGGCAAGGGTCCCCCCTGCCGCTGGGTGTAGCAGCAGCAAGGCCTCCAGCAGGCACAGGAAGCCACGGACGTTGCCTTGGAGGAGGAGGGCAATGTCTGGGCCACCACAGAGAGACACCTGCGGCAGGCGAGAGAACACAGGCACAGAAAGACGGACACGTAAACGTTAAGAGAACACGGAACAGAAGCGAGGAAGGGCGGGGGAACGCCTGCTTTTGCTTGGAGGGGGGGAGGGCAGGCCCTGAAAGAAATGGTGGGGAAGGGGCCCCCCAGGGACCGCCTACCCAGCCTCACCTCTGGAATCCCAAGCTGGCGGCAGGCGGCCAGGAAGCTCTGCAGATTCTTGCGGCTTTTGGCGGCATTCAGCTTCGGCTGTGGCAAAGGAGAGAGAGGGGTGTCGGTGGGCAAGGGCAGCGAGGAGGCTCAGCCTGCCGGGCACGCACAGGCAGCAGTGGCCCAGGCAGAGGCGCTTTCAGCTGCAGTGGAGCCCAGGCAGCCTGTTGCCAGCCAAGGCTACCCTGAGGCAGGAGTGAGACCCGTTCTGCCCCCCAGCCCTTCCAAAGAGAGGCTCACCACAGCAGGCGAGGGCACGTGGATGAAAGGCACAGAGCGTGGGCACAGACGGTTTGCCAGCTGGCAAAGGATGACCCCGTCAGCCAGGGCCTCGCCCAAGTCCTCCGCCAGTATTAGGTTCAGATGGGACTCAATTGCCTGGGGGGAGGGGAAAGAGAGGCTCCAGAGGCCGACAGCTGCCTTTGAGGCTGGGGTGCCAGGCTTGATAATGTACCCCAAAGGCTCCCCTTGGGGCCCAAGGCTTTGGCAGCAGGATGCTGTCCCTGCCCAGCTTGAGTGCCAGCTCCATCCCCTCCCCTCCCTCTCGGGACACCCCAACTTCCAGCTGTGACCCTCCACCCGGAAGCCATTCTCTGGGTTTGGCCACACCTTGCTTAGACGTGCCCCGCCCCAGATCGCAGCTGGGACAGAGCCACCAGAACTCCTACCTTGCGCAGCTGTCCAAGGAGCTCCCTCTCGTCTGGGGCCTGGGATCCCGCACGGGACCTCGAGGGGCTGCTGAGCTCAGGAGACGGGGAATCTGCAAGGAGGGTTTGGCAGCGCTCAGGGAAGCCTATAATGCTGAGCCTGGCTGGGGCCTCCCAGAAGGGCAAGCTTGTCTCTGGGGAGCTGCAGCCAGCTAGGAGGATCGCCCCGAGTGGCTGACTGAGGACCCGACTGCTGACGAGAAGAAGCGGGGGCAGCAGAGTAGCTTCCGGGGGCTGCCCCTCTATTTGGCCCCTCTCAGCCCCATCAGGCAGACCAGGCCCCACAGGGAAGCCAAAGGTGCTGTGGCTGAAACTGCTGAACTGACAGAATCCTGCCAGTTGGATTACACTCTGCTCCACTCCCCCCACCCCCCACAGTGCATTAGGGAGTTGTGTGCCAGCCGCTTCCGAACGTTCTCCAGACCGTCAAAACTTGAAACGGGTTTTGCCCTTGGAGCAAAACGGAGCTTGCGTTCCTCTCCCTGCTTCCGAAGAGACCCGTTGGCGTCTCAGCTGGCTGAGCCCACACCTTGGCAGCCCTCACTATAGTTATGCTGCAACTCTTCCTGCCACCCTCCTTTCCTAACCCCAGGGTCCCCCCTCTCTCCTCTGCCCTTTTCAAGCCCCGTCCCGATGCCATCAGCAGCCAGGAGCTACTTTTCAGCGGTCAGAGGGAGCTCGAAGCCGCCCGGACGGGCCTGCCAAGTGGCACGGGGGAAGAATCTCACGGCCCCGGCTTCTCTCGAACACTCACCCGAACTCCGCTGGGTGCTCTTTTGGGAGGAAGAGCGGAAGAGGAAGCTGGAAGGCCTCTGCGCCAAGCTGGCATCGCGGGGCGCAAGACTGGCCGCCGTGGAGCTCTGGCAGAGCAGAGGGTCTGTATGGGCAGAAGGGCTCAAGGTTGGCCAGGGACTCACAGGATTCTGGGAGCCAGGGGAGGGGGCAGTGTGTGTCCACGCACCTCACACACCACCTAGTTGGTGGGGCACAGGCATCAGGGTGTTTATTTACTTATCAAACCACTCTGGGTGAGCTCACAAGAGTCAAAAAAAGGATCTACAATAAAATCAAAGAGAAGGAAGAAGAGAGAGAACAGAAGAAGTCAGGAACGAGAGAGCAGAGGGAAACGGAGCAAAGGCCAGGGGGATCCGTGCCTGGCAGGGAAGCAAATTAAGCCTTCGCTCGATGCATCGCTGCGCCTTGGAAGGCGGTTTGCCAAGAAGGGGAAAGTGGGCAGGGGAGGCTTGGCCGGCAGGAAAGCAGTTAAAGTATTCGTGGCCTCTTGGAGGAAAGAAATGGGGACCTACCTCTGCCCGTTTCCTTACCTAAAGGGGGGGGCGGGGGTTTTGGCAAAAATTCGCCAACTGGATTCAGTGGGAAAGGGCCACTGAGCATGCAGCTGCCTGGAGGGAATGGGAGTGTGGGTGTGAACGGGTGTGAAGCGAATGCAGTGAAGTGAGCGGCCCGCGTGAAAAGACTCTCCGGGCGACGTACAGAGAGAAAGGAGGAAGGAGGAAAGAATGCTAAAGAGACACAGGAAAGAGAGAAACATTGAAAAATGAAAGCCTGAGTGGAGCTTCTGAGATTCTCAAAAATGCAAAATGAAGTTTTAGAAAATGGAAAGCAGCGACTGGAGTGGCAGACTGGAGTGGTTGACGGCAAAGAGCGAGAGGTGTGTGTGTGGGGGGGGGGGGGTATGACACTAAATGGGGTAAAATCAGGCCCAGCTGCCTGGCCTCTCCTCCCTCCTCTCCGCCTCTCCTTGCCGTGTCCTTTTCCACCTAATGCCATCTACCCCGAAGGGGGTGTGGACGGGGGCCTGGGAGGCAGGCTGAGCCACCCCCAGAGCAGAGGCCTCGCAACAGGCCCTCGGCCGAGTCTTCCCGTCCCTCCCCCCTTGGCTGTCAGGACAGAGCAAGGAAGGGCTCGGGAGGTCCTGCAGCTTCTCTTCTGGGGTGGGGGTGGGGGGGACCTACCTGCAGAGCGTGGACTGTGCCTGGGGGAACCAGCCGGCTGTTCGGCTCCCTGAAAGGCCACAAAGGGAGGAGGTCAGGGCCAGCGCCTGCATTCAGACGGGGTGCAGAGCCAGGGGGTTTGCCAGGCCTCTGCCCACTGGACAAGGACGCACATCAAGCGGGCGGCTGCCAGAAGACCCAGCATCCACAGCACCAGCCCTGCCCTCTCTCCAGGACCCAAACAGCCCCAGCCCCACCAGCTGAATTCACACGGCACAGAGAAGTTCATACAACACGCAGGGCCCAAGTAAACCTGTTCCGCCTTCTCGGCCCACCCTGGTTCCCACAAGGGGCTGAGCCAGTGGCCGTCTCTCTCCACCTGCCACCCAGCCCCACCTTTCCCTAGAGGGTGGTGCCAGGGCGAAGGCAGCACTTGTGGTAGCTCTTACCTGGCCAGGATGCTTCGGCTGAGGGAGGCCACTGCCCTTCTCGGCCAGGCTGCTGCTGCGGAAACAAGAGGCGCCTTCAGGACCGAGACCCAGCCAGCCCCACGGAGACCCTGGGTGCCCTTTGCCAGCCCTCCATCTCTGGCCTTTGGGAAAGAGCAGAGCCCTCCGAAGGAGCCAGGAGGAGGACAGGCTGTGAGGCAGAGAACGGGCAAGAGGGGCCAAAGCCTCCCTGTTCGCTGAAGGCGACTGGCTCCTGCTGCGCCCCCCACCTAATCCTGGAGGTGTCTGAAGTCAACTAGGAGGCGCTTAGCGATTTAACTGAGCACATGTGGGGGAGGCCAATTCCTTCCAGAGGTTGGAGGGGCACTTCCTGGAGAGGAAAGGCTGGCAGAGGGCATCTCTCTGGTCATCTAGCAGGAGGCACAGTGGCTTCAGCTGCCCCTGCATATGCCTGCAGACCCATGGAGAGGATGCCAGCCAATATGGTCTCTGCTGACTGGAGACTGGGGGAAGGACCGACTCCCCCAGCTGGAGGGCTCCAAAGCCCCCGATGCCAGGGAGTCGCAGATGCCCACCTGTCCGGCCTCTCGGCCCCCTGTGTCCACCGCTGGTGCTGGCGCTCCCTTTCCTGCCATAGCTGCAGGAGTTCAGGGCGACGGCGCTCCTCGGCTGAGAACTCTGGCTTGGCGAGGCCGGCCCCACTGCTGCTCCTAAAAAATGGGGAGGAAGGGTCTAAGTCCAACGGGGGGGAGCTGCTCAGGCCGAGCCAGTGGTGGGGCCCCAAAGCGCCCAGTCCGCAGAGCCAAGGATTGACTGTGCTAGGAGGGGGGCATGTCCGGAGAGGCAGAAGAACTGGCCTGCCCGCCTCGCGATTCCTGGAGGAGGACCAGCCCCCTCTTGGCAGAGACCTGGCAGGGCAAGACCCCACTTTCTGCTGGCCTCCCCAAGGCAACACTGCTGGCCAGGGAGTGCCCCGTACCTGCCAGTCGTCAGCCCTGGCTCTGCAGCGCCCACTCTCTGAGAAGGGATCCTGGCGTGTTTCTGGGGCTCCTATGGAAGACGGGCACAGGAGTCAGTGCGGGGGCTTCCCTCCTCCCCCCTCCATTCCCCTCCCCCCCAGGTCAGAACCAATCTTGCTGCTCGGCACAGGAATCAGAGTATTTTCCCACGGCCTCCAGGAACAGAGTCCCAGCTGCTCTGCTGATTGAGTGAGAGGTTCCCCAGAGGCAGCCCCCTTACCTCGTGGGGCGCTGTCCCGGGGAAGCCGGACCATGCCTTGCTGGCCCTCCCAGCCGGAGGGGGCCCCATCGCCTCTTCCTCCACCAGTGAATCCTCCTCTTCCTCCTCCCCGTTCACGCTGCTATCAATGTAGTCGATCTGTTCCAGTTCTCCGGCATCGCCTGGGGGTGGGGATAGAGAACAGCTGTGAGCAAGAACTGGGCTCCAGCTGCCTTGGCGCTCTCCAGCCCTCCTCCGCTATGGCAATGCTGGCGGACGCACAACCCCCATCCTCTCCTGTGCTCACCTGCCCCTCCACGCTTCTCCCTCAGCTGCTTGGGGTCACGGGCCAACTCGGCAATGCGGAAGGAGAGGTCGGAGAACTCGTCGGTGGACTGAGGAAGAGAGAGGCCCCCAGTCAGGGCAAAACCTAGGGCCCCCCTTTTCAGCCCTGGCTGCAGGGTCTCTCCTGCTCCTGTGAGGTTCCCTCCTCCAGCACGGGAAAAGGGCGAAGGGAGTTCACCCACCAGGCACCACGTACCTCATTCCCCGACCACCGCTTGCTGCCACTGTCCACACTGTGGAAGCCCGAGTCGAGGCCGCCATGTTGCCGTGCCAGATAGAAGTCATCTGGGAGGCTGAAAGGCAGGACAGTAGCTGAAGCGGCCCCAAGAGTGAGGCTCCGGCTATCACCGAGGTCCTTCCCTCTGACTGGAGGCTGAAACTGGCACCATGGCCAACAGCCCCTTCTGGGGCCTGCCCTTGGCTCCTTACCACGTGCCAAAGCCGGCGGGGCGTCCCTGGGCGAGTTCTGCCAGGTCCGGCCTGCCTTTGCCGCAGGCCTCGACGTTGAGGTATTTGAAGATGTGGATTTTGCCTTTCAGGCAGACCTGCGGAAATGAGGCCCCATCAGACACGGAATGGCCATCCCAGCTGCTTGGAAGGAATGGCCAGGCCTGCATCCCTCTGCGACTCCTCCCTGGCCTGATGAGCTGAGGGGACCCCCAAGGGCCGGGTGAAGTCCTCTGGCCAGCTGGCCAAGGAGCAGTAGAGCTCCTTTCCAGGCTGTGGGACAAAGCCCCCACCCCACGACAGGTGTGGCTGATGTTCCTGGCAAGGAGGCTCAGAGGACAGGATCCGCTCTGCTGGATCACAAGAGCAGAGACCGCCCTGCGGAAATCGGGCAGGTGGAAAAAGAGGGAACCAAGGTTTTCTCTGTGGCAGGAGAGGGAGGATTGCCCATTTTTCGAGACCTTGCAACAAAAAAAGTGCTGCCATTTCTCTCCTGACCGCTCTGCCTCCTGGGCTGGGATTAGATCCTTGGCAGAGGAGAAAGCAGCGCTTGAAGGCTGAGCAGCCCCCTTTTCTCCCTGGGGTGGCTGGCAGGATGGAAGGCCTCGGATGAGGGAGGGGCAGGCGCTGTTTCGACAGATTGCAAAGTTTACACTCACAATTTTCTCTTACGCCAGTAACTTTTACATTAAAGTTTGTTTTGAGGCTGCGCATCATTTTATTATAGGAACCTTTATTTTATTTTCAACTTCCTTTGACTGCCGCATTTCTGGCACATTTACCTTAGCCTGAAAACTAGAGGGGCAGATCGCAGTTTCCTTTATTCTGAAAGATTTTGAAAGCTTCCGCGTGTTTCAAATATGGAACAGGGCAATGGGGGCTCGAGCCAAATACAGTAGCATCTTCATGGTCCTTTCCCATTTCCTTTTTGATCAGAATTTATTATTTATTTACATGCGATTAGTGTCTCCCTTCAGCCAATCGTATTGCCGTTATTTTTTCTCATTTAATTTTTTTCCCTCCTCCTCCTTTCCTGGGCCACCATACTCCCAGCCTCCATCCCTGAAGCAGCCTGGGATTAGCCGGGGGTGGGCAGGGTCAGCCAGATCCAGGGGAAAGGCCCAGGTGCTCAATGAGGAGCTGGGCGTGGCGGGTGGGCCGCCTACCTGAGCAGGTGGGAACTGCAGGGGATTGTTCTCCAGGAGGAGGCACTGCAGGGATCGCAAGTGGCGGAAGCAGACCGGAAGGCGAGTGACCAGGTTGCAGGAAAAGTCCAGCCGCACCAGCGGAAGCTCAGCCAACTCTGCAAAGGCAAAGGGGGCAGTCGGAAAGGCTCCGGGGGCAGCCAGCGCCCCAAATGCCCCAGGTGCTCAGCGGACTCGACCCAGAGAGGCCGGCTGGCCAAACTGCTGACCTTCAGGCAGGATGGTGATCTGGTTCCGGCGAACATTGAGATCCCGAAGACACTCCAGGCCTCCCATGCTCCCCGGGAGGGACCGCAGCTCATTGCTGCTGACATCCTGGCCAGGAAGGGACAAAGGGAACTGAGTGAACCCCCGGCCTCTCCCCAAAACAGACTGCTGATGGGAAGGGCACAGGCCAGAGCTGAACCGCAAGATGTTGGCCACTCCGAAGAGCCCTCCGAACCCCTCCCTCAAGCCCCTGCCCATCATCGCCACATCTGGGCAGCCACAAGAGGGTTCTGCACGGTGCTGCAGCCACATGGATTTGGGCAGCTTCCCCGTCTCTGGCTTCCAGCTTGGAGCCCCAAAAGCCTGTCCTGTCCTGGCTTGGCCTCGGCCTTTCTCCGAGGGTCCCTCTGCCCACCCAGCAGACTCACCAGCTGGCGAAGGCTGCCGAGGGAGCCGATGTCCTCCGGCAGGGAGGCCAGCTTGTTGTTGCTGGCAATGAGAACTTTGAGGGGCAGGCGGCACAGGCAGGCGGGCAGGGCGGAGATCTGGTTCCGGCTGTGGGGAGGAAGGCAGGCTGGCTGAGAAGGTCTCCGGAGGCACCCGAGAACCTGCCCGGACCCCGGGACAGCAGCCCGGCCCTTTGCTCCAGCTGCCAACTGCCCCCGGCTGCCTCCCTTCCCCGAGTACCTAACGTTCAGGTGGGTGAGGGCCTGGAGGTTGGCAATGGCTGGAGGGAGGCTGCGCAGGCAGTTGTGGTACAGGCTCAGCCCTTCCAGGGACATCAAGTGGCAGGCGTCTTCAGGCACTTCGGCAAAGCGGTTCCGCGAGAGATCTGTGCGGAAGGAGAATCGTGAGATCCCAGAATCCTTCCCAAGGGGAGCTGCTGACCCAAAGGGGAAGATGCCCTACTGTGACAAGGCTCCCCTCATTCCCCGGACCCCACTGTGGGTCCACCAAAGCCTGGAAGTAGCTGGTGCTTTATCTCTGCAAGGCAGGCAGGCAGGCAGGCAGGCTGGGGGGTGGGGACCTCTGGGGAAGCAACGCCAAGAGGGTCTGCAATAAAGCCTCATCTAAGGGCCGGAGGGCAAAGGATGCCTGAGAAATCACATTTGCTTGAGCAGCCTCGATTTGCATCATTCACTGGCTCCCAAAAAGCGACTTTTCCTTCAGAAGGGAACTGACCAACCCACCCCTGCCCTGCCAGCGGATCAGCTGGACACCAGCCCTCTGGGAGGGGGAGGGGTGCCTCTCCAAGGTGTGTCCTCCCTAGGTGAGCCTCCCCAGCCTTGCAATACTTTCAGGGCCCACATCAGCTTCTGAGATAATCCCTCACCGTCAACCCCACAGCCCCCGCCCCGGTCAGGGCCGAGTCCTTCCTCCTCTTTTGAGTCTTGGGGGGGGAGGATAGGGAGTCTGGCCATGTATGGGAGAGGCCAACCTGCTTTCTGTTCTTTGGACAGCTGAGAGGAGCAGGTCCCAAGGACAGGCAACTATGACAGAACAGCAGAGTTGGAAGGGAGCTTGGAGGTCTTCTAGTCCAACCCCCTGCTCAAGCAGGAAATCCTATACCATCTCAGAAAAACTCTTATTTAAAACCTCCAGCATTGAAGCCCGCACAACTTGCTGACTTGGGTTGCTGCTCTTTAGAGACACAAGCCCAGCCCTGCCCTTTAAGCTACACTTAAACCCAGCTGGGACTGAAATGTGGGGACTCCCTAATAACGGCCACACACACCCCTTGGCCTCTCTCTGGGCTGCCCCTGCTGGAGATGCCAAAGCAGTCCGAATACTTTCTGTCCCGCTTAACGCCACAAAGGGACATTAGAGGGTAAGCGGTGCTCACAAGACTCTGGCCTTCCCTCCCTTTCAGCTTTGGAAGAGTAAATAGAACTGTCCAGATCTCTCTCTCTCTCTCTCTCTCTCTCTCTCTCTCTCTCTCTCTCTCTCTCTCTCTCTCTCTCTCTCTCTCTCGTCAAAAATATAGTCCTCTCTATAGGAGAAGCTTGAATTAGGGTCTCCAGACTTGGCCACTTTTAAGACTGCTGGATTTCAACTCCCACGCGTGGCTGGCTGGGGAATTCTGGGAGTTGAGGTCCACCAGTCTTAAAAGTGGCCAACTTTGGAGACCCTGAGATAGACCAATGTTTCCCTTTGGCTGAGAAAGGGGGGGATGGGCGGGTGGGACATACAAGAAAATAATCTTGACGTTCTGAACTTGGACTCCTCTGGGAGGGAACTCTCATTTCCAAGAAACCCATTCCGCTTAACGAAACCGGGCTCCCTTGTTCCAGGAGCAGGGAATCTTCTTCCCTGCGGTCTTGAGAGCGGATCCCCCACCGGGAAACATGCCAGCTTTTCAGCCTTCAGGGAGCTCTCTGACACAGGGAAGGGGGCTTTGTGGCCGTGGAAAAGAAACAGGCCCCAAACGGAGGGCTTTGCAAGCCATTCCTTGCCAGAGCCTCTGGGGAGGGCAGGGAAGAGCCAAGAAAGGCCCAGGACTGGCCTCCGAAATGCTGCTGCGCACTCTGGCTTCCGGGATGCTCCCGGGCTAAATTTAGAAGCCGCTTCCAGCCCATCCAGGGAGCCCGGGAGCAGCTCCACCAGGAGGGGCTCTTCAGCCGGAGCTGCCTCTGAGCTACCTGTCCAGGGCCGTTCGGCCAGGTTAGCCTAGTTCCATCTTCTTGAAACTTACAATGCAGGTACGGTGTTCAAAAATGTAGCATTTCAACCATCAACCCAGGGAAACGCCATGGCTGTGTGGCCAATCCTTCCTTGAGAGATCGCTGGATCCCGTGTCTTTCCAAGCGCAACGTTCTCCCCCCCCCCCCCCCGGGCTTTTTCAGATGAGTTCAGAGAAAGCAGGGGGTTGGACTAGAGGACCTCCAAGGTCCCTTCCAATTTTTATTCCGTGTTCCAAAGGCACAGGAGATCCACAAGACTCACTCAGCCCAGGAACCTGTGGATGCTGCTTCCATTCTTTCACCCCAAAACCCTCTCCGCCCCCCCCACCCCTTAACCCTGGGGGTTTTCAAGAAGAGGCTGGACAGCCACTTGTCGGAATGGCATAGGGTTTCCTGCTTGAGCAGGAGGCTGGACTAGAAGACCTCCAAGGTCCCTTCCAACTCTGTTATTCTGTCTTGTGTCCCCACTCGGCCATCTAATTTTTAAACAGTTCCTCGTATACCATTAGGAGCCCCAAACCTCCCATTATCAAACCTTCCCTAATGTAGGTTACCTATCTTCAACCCAAGGGATCACGTGCAGATGTTCTTTGGGGGGGGGGAGAAGTGATGGCAGCTGGTAGATGGTAGCACGGAGCCAACCGCCCCCCACCCCCACCTGAACAATAGCGACAGACCGGCTGCCCCACGTGACCTTCCCTGGACACAGATGGCCACTGTCCGGCCGACCCGGAGGGGAGGGGGCCAAGGCACCGGATGGTCTTCAAGGACACTTCAGGCGCCCCACCCCCACCCCGTGCAAAAGCCTGTGGACAATCATTCCCCGGGCAGCCCTGATGGACTCAGAAGCCATGTGCCTTCCCCCAGCCTCCCTGGGAGCCCGTGGCCCACCTTAGCAGGGCAAGCAGACTGATGTGGGGGGGGGTCGTCCGCTGGAGCATGTGCAGAGAGCGCCCACCCCCACTTCCCTGAGCCTCTCCCTGCTGCTGCTACCAGGCTTCCTTTACTGACCGCAGAGGCAACCTGTGGCTTCAGCCCAGAGAGGGCCAGGGAGGGCAGCCTCGGAACCAGCCAGCAACTCCAGCAATGCTGGGCAGCCCCCCAAGAGAGAAAGAGAGGGGGCCGCCTCCCCCGGTGCTGCTCTCCGTGTGAGGAGCCCCCCGCCAAGGCAAGGGAGGGAGAACCCCCGCCAAGCCACAGACAGGCCCCCGGAGTCCCAGGACGACACTGCGGCTTCTGAGCGGATGGCGCCCTCCGAACCCCTTATGCAATTGGGGATTTCCCCCCCTTCTCCCTTGCCCAGGAGAAAAGCAGGGCCTCTTCATGCAACGGACCCCCGTCTTTGTTTGCTACGAGGTCTCATAGGAAGCCCACTTCCGAAAGGCCCTTGGCAGACCCCCAGGGGGCTTCCGTTTGCAAAAGACCAGAGGGGCAAACATCTACGGGCCTAGCGGCTGAAGAAGCCTTTAGCCTCCCCCTGAAGGCAGGAACTCCTCGTGAGGAAGGAAAGGACCAGGGGAGGGGGGGCTCCCCCAAAAGACCCAGTTTCACTGGGGGGAGGGGTCCTCATCGGAGGATAACTGGGAGCCAGGCCTGGCCGCTCGGAAGAACTTGGGAGCCGGAGGGGAAGCAAGTCGGCCACCAGCAGAGGCTGACCTGGGCTGTTTGGGGATGATGGGTCCTGAGGTACAGCTGCTGGAATCACAGTCCCAGACCAGAGAGGCCCTCCAGTTATGCTGGTGTACACGCCACACTCTCCTGCACACCAGGCCCCGACACAACCCAGACCCGCAGGCAACGGTGCCGGCTGGGTATTTATTTAGGATAATGTTTTATTTGGTCTAGGCAGGCCTGGGCCTGGCCTTGGAGGAGTCTAGGCAGCTCCAACCGGAAGGGGAGCAACAAATAAAAACAAATCTTTGTCACAATCAAAAGACCATCGAAACCAAAACCGACTCCAGGCGGCCAAAGGGCTCCTGCTGGGTGGATGGGCTTGTGTCTGAGAGACCGAGGGGGGGGGGGATGGGGGGTTCGGACAACCTCTGGGCTTCATGGCCTTATATGTCAGCCTCTGGGTCAGCTCCCCCCCACACACAGGGCCTGTCCTCTGCCCCCTCCCCCCCATGGTCCAGCTGACGGGGGCCTCTCAACGTGACCCCCAGCCAGCAGCAGGGCCCAGCACAACAGGGGGCCTCTCCCTCCCACCAGGGGGTGGGGAAAGGCCCTGGGGCGTCTCGGGGATGGAGGGGGGTCCGTAGCCACCATGAGGACGGCGGCTTTGCCCCCCAGGAACTCCCACTTGGGTGGGGAGCCTGGGGGAGCCCTGCCTGATTCCACCCCACCCCCACCGCCACCCCCACTGGAGAGGAGCCTTGCAGGTGTTGAATCTCCTTGCAATCCCTTCATTGTGCAACTTCCAGCCTGCCCAGCCTCAGCTCCGACTTCAGGGCAGGGATCCTCCGGCCCTCCCCCTCTGCTCCCTCCCAGCACAGCCCCTGGGCCACTTCAGGGCCCCAGGCGCCCTCACACTGGGCACCAGGTGTAGGCCAGACCATTGCACCGGTCCCTAGAAGCCCCATCTGCTTCAGGGCAGCCCAAGAACCCGTCAGAGGCCCTCCAGGCAGCCATGAGGACTAGAAACCTGATTTTCCAAGGTTGACCTCTGCCCCAGGCAGGCAATTGCAGGGGCCTCTGCAGTCATGGAAACTGCCTGTCAAAATGGCCCTTTACGGTGCTTCTGAGCAGGGCTTGGGAGTCCCTTCCGCAGTGGAATCCGTGGGGCAGCTGCTGCTTTCCCATTCCCACTGGGGTGGGGAGGGGGAAGAGAAGGGCCGGCTGCAAGCGGATCCTTCCCAGCCACGCAGAGTATTTCACAGCTGCCCACCAAGGTCCAAAATCAGAAGCAGCAGCTGCCCCTGCTCTGCCCCGCTCAGCTTTGCCCGGCGCACCCAGGCAGGAGATGATAGGGGGGGGGGGGGGGGGGGGCACGGGGGAGAGCAACTCCAGACCCGGCCTAAAAATAGCGGCCAGATGGTTTCCTTCTGGGATAAAAGGAGAGCAGCCCGACCGACACAGGGAAACAGCGTGGGCTGGAAAGCAAGACCCCTTCCTCTGTGGGGCACATCCTTTGGAGGGGGAAAGAGAGGGGGCT